ATTTATATTTAATTTAATTTATATTATATATATATATATATTGTAATTTTATTTAAATTTTATTTTAAAAATGTATTAAATATTTTTTTTTATTTTTTGCGGGTATCCGCGGATACCCACGGGTTTTAAAATATCCGTGGGTATTTTTTAAACGGGTACCCGACGGATAGCGGGTCGGGTAGCGGGTATAATTTTATCCGGCGGGTCAGGTTGCGGGTAGGCACTACCCGTGCCCGACCCGACCCGTTGTCATCCCTATTCGTGACGCATTCGAAGGAGGTGTTCACCCGTTGTGGCTTTCAAGAAAAGTGAGCTTCATATCTTGGGGTAACAAGAGAAGTTTTCTTATCCTTTTGTTTATTTTCTTTGTGATTGTAACAATTTGTTGGTTTGTGATAGTGGATCGTTAATTCTCATTTGAGGTTAACAACTAGACGTAGGATCCTTGTGATCTGAACCAGTATAAAATCACTTGTACAATTTTCTCTCTTCCTTACTCTCTTATTTGTTTTAATTTATCTTTAAGGAATTTTAAATTGAAAGAGAAAATATTTAAAGGCATGATTTTTTATAAGAAATCGATTCACCCCCCTCTTGGTTTGTTGTTCACACTAACAATTCCGCTGCACCACTATGACAAGGAAGACGTGTGTCACAAATCCTCTCCAATGGTGGAGGGACATGTGGCCACTACCAAAAAGAAATCGTCTCCACTCTAAAGGTGCCATATGGTCACTTTCTAAAAACCTCTCCAATGGAAGCATAACACATGTCACACACTTTCTACTTGGTCTAAATATCTAACTTAAGGAAAATCCTATGCTATTTAGGCCTTAATACAAGCCTTAATCGAACCTACATTACATGGCCGAATACAAGGCCTAAATTCTACACAACTCATTATTCTTCAATGATGGCCTAACTGAAGCAAACATTTGTGTCTCCTTCTAAAGACGATTCTTCTTGGACGAGTTTGGTTATACTTCTAGTGGTTGAACCCTTGACTATGAGTTTGCCATCAGAATTGGAGGGAAATTATAGAGTCTTCTTTCTCTAACTAGGGAAGCCCACCAATGTAAGACATTGCCTTGAAAACTTAGGGTGTCTAGGGAGACTTTTCTTTCCTCACTAATTTGGTGACATTCAAAGGGTTGTTCTACCTTCATCTCCCAATCTAGATATGTCTCTACATCTTCCTTTCCATGGAAATGGGAAGATCAACCCTAATCTCTCTAGGATGGTTCTCTCTTTCACATTCTCTTCTCATTCTATTTGGTGGAGGTTGATAATATTGGTTAAGAACCCTACTATCTACCTCAAGATGTGAGGGAGTGTGTGTATTTTGAGTTGGAGTTCTTGAACTCCTCCTAGTGTGACTTCTACTTCTACTTTTACTCTTTCTTATCTCTTCTTATGATCTTTCTTGTTTATCATTGAGAACTCTAAGTTTCTCCTCCAATTTAGCAAGATATTCTTCTTTTTCTATCTTTTCTTTCTCTTTCAAAATAGACTCTTGCTTTTGCCAAATTTTTAGTGACTTTAGCTCTTTGGCCAAGTTTTTCAAAGTGGGTTTGACCTCTTTACTAGAGTCAATATCAATTTCATAGGAGGAGGTCTTAGACGTTCTCAAAGTTTTCGAAAATATGCAATGCACAAACAAAAAATTTCAAAAGAAGTTCCTTAGGAGACTTAAGGAAGTAAAAGATACTTAAGTTCACTTCCAGGAAATGGAAGTGAATCATAAAATATTGCTTAATATATAACCAAGCCTTTCCTATCAAAAGTTTACCTTAGAAACCCTTATACCAAACTTCTCAAAGGAACAAAAATTGAAATAAAAATAGACACACACTAAACTACCACAATTAAAGAAAACAAATAAATCTACATTATGCAGCCTAATAATGAATTAAAAGGAACTTTGTTCCCCTCTTACCCATCCACTACAAATAACGTTTAAAGAATAAGTGTCCAATGTTCTTCATAGGACAAAACCCTAACATCAGCTTACATGAAACATTTGGTCATTACCATCTATTCCAACTTCAGTTATCCACTCACCTCCATATTTTCCTTTCAAGAAACACCTATCCAAACCTATAATAGGTCTATATGAAACAAAGTTGTCCTTACATGCCTTCAAACACACATATAGTCTCTTGAATATTGGGTTCTCCTCATTAGGTTCTACATTAACTTTCACACTTGATCCAGGATTTGACCTCAGCAGCTCATTTGCATAGTCATATACTCTTTTATATTGTTCTTTGAAACAACCTTCAATTGTGTTGTATGCCATTGTTTTTGCCCTAAAGGTTGTAGACCGAGACACACCAATATTCCATTTCTTACAAACTTTGTTTTGGAGGTTAGTCAAATTAATATTTGGATTTTATTTTATGGTCTTCTCTAACCTGCCACTTAACCATTTTGAAGTCACTAAACGAATATTAAATTCTCTACTACATGTATGGGTATTGATAATCTTCCTTAACTATCATGTACTTTGGGCAACCTTATATGCACAATAAGCGTTGTCGCAACCGGAATCGCGACGGGACGACGATCCAAAAGATAAGGGTTTGAAAAAGAGATTTGGAGTCGCCACTATAGTTTATTTTGGAAAACTATAGAAAAAACCATAAAAGGATAAGGCATAGTATGTGAAAACCAGATTATGGGTTCGGGAGTCGGTTACGCATAGGGAAGGTATTAGCACCCTACCGCGCTTGCCCGAAGGCAGTACCCTTAATTAAATACGCGAATATGATGTGGTTTTCAAAATGTTTAATTATCCCCGAAAAAGACACTCTAAAGAAACAAAATATATTTTTAATTTTTTGGGCCCGACAAGGATTGACCTTACTCCTACGTATTCCATTTCAAAATGAGAAATTAACGTTACGTAATTTTTATGAAACTGTTTGAGAAGTTTGTATGGAAATGATTATGAATAAGTTTGGATTTTTGATAAGTGAACCTAACAAGGACTAAACTTGCTCCTACGTATCTCCATTTTTGATGGAGAATCAAGGATCACGTAGTTCTAGCCAAAAGATTGTTTGTTGTTTGAAAATGTAGATGTTTTTAGTTTTTGAAGATTTTATGTTTTTTTTTGTATTTTTGAGAAAAAGAAAGTAATGAGTACTAGGCTGACGTGGACGGTCACACGAATACTTATTCCTTTAGAATGATATTTAAATATTTTAATTATTTTTAAAAGAGAAATAACAGTGTTAAGCACTAGGACGATGCGAACGATCACATGAGCACTCATACCGTTAATTACTTATTTAGGAAGACTTGAGAGTATTGAGTGCTAGACTGATGTGGACGATCGCACGAGCACTCATACCATTATTTAAAATTTTTAATATTGAGGATATTAAGTACTAGGTTGATGCAAACGATCACAAGAATACTCATATCATTATTTAATTATTTAGAAAGACTTGAGAGTATTGAGTGCTAGGCTGATGCGAATAATCGCACGAGCACTCATACCATTATTTAAATATTTTAAGAGTAAGTACTAGGCCGATGCAAATAATCGCACGAGTACTCGTACCATTTATTTAATATCTTATTTTTTCATCATTTTTTACTTTATAATTTTTACTTTTTATCTTTCATTTTTGTAATTTTTACTATATAAATTATAAGAATAATAGTTATATTTACATAGGGTTTAATAAAAATTTTATTTACCAAAGTATTTGAAATAAAATAATAACATCATAATAATATTTACATAAAGAAAAACAACGTATAAAACAGAAAACAAATTAAAACTATATTCAGTTTATATTTTAAACTTTTGTAATTATATACTTTTTTTGTGATTTTTATAACATAAAAAAAAGGTAAATAAAAGTTTAAAATATACAATAAAATTAACGCATAATAATAAGACAATTGGTAAGGAATAACAAAACGTATGCAGTGATTAATATGTAACAGATAAAATACAAAACAAGTAAAAAAAACATTATAATTAAGAAAATAAAAATAAGGCTGCAGAAAGTAAAATCCAATAAGAGCAAAGGGTGTAGAGGTGAAAAACCAGGGTGTTGTTTAGGCCCAATAATAAACGGGGTGTAAGAATGAAATTGGAGATACTTCGTATTTTCTTGTTCCTACATAGTCTCAAGGACATTGTCAACCANCTTAATAAGAAACTAATAAAAAAGACAAATGAATATAATATAAAATATATTAAAAAGACATAAAAATATATAAATTGATGTAAATGACTAAATAATACGTTTCATAAAATTTTTTTTAAAAGAATTATATAACTTTGTAAATAATAAATATTAATTTTATTAAATTTGGAAAATTAAAAAAGTTATTAAGTCAAAATTTTAACATGTTCACACCAATTAAAAATAATGTAATTTTGATCACAAATCTTAATCGAATGATATTGATTTAAACTAGTGACAAAATAGATTACCATCAATAAATAAATTTGTTAGTCCATCAAAATTTTACATATTAAATTAAATTTTTTAACTTTTAAACCTATTTTATGTGGATATCTCTGAATCGTCAAATTTACAAACCAAAATTAAGATGAAAAAATTATCAAAATAAAATTTGAAAATAAAGAAATAATTGTATAAAAGCATTATTATTAAACTAATTAATATAGAAACAGTTATGAAGTAGAAAATTAATTTTATTGGTAAAAAAATATAATTATACATGAATCAATTATGATTATAAGTTATTACTAACAAAGATAAAATGAAAGCTGGATAAAAAATACATATGATTTGTGATTACTTGTATGATGATATTATGTTTCTAGACGTTAAATTTTGTAAAAAGAAAAGCCCATGGGCTAGCCCTGGCCTATATGGCTTTAGGGGTTTTTAGCCCTGTGGACTTTTTTAATAAAAAGTTTTTTTGGCCCTGTGGACTTTTTTGGCCCCAACCCACATAGGTTAGGGCCAAATCTTATTAAAGAGACTCATTTGACAGCTCTAATCACGATCAGCAAGGCTTTGGGAAGGTTGACAGCCCTTTCACTATAATCAGTCCTAGTTAAATCAGAGAACCCTTGTTTAGCTAATTCTTGAAGAAGTAAATGGCCACCGCTTCCCAAGCTCAACCCCAACCACTTCCTCTTCAAGACCGAGTCGCAATCGTCACTGGCTCCTCGCGCGGAATCGGCCGCGAAATCGCGATTCACCTCGCTTCACTCGGTGCGCGAATCGTCATCAATTACACCTCCAACTCGTCCCAAGCCGAGTCAGTTGCCGCTCAAATCAACGCCAACTCCGCCACGCCGCGGGCCGTCGTGGTCAAGGCTGACGTGTCCGAACCGAGCCAAGTCAAGTCCCTCTTTGACTCTGCCGAGCGCGCCTTTGACTCGCCGATCCACATCCTGGTCAACTCGGCAGGCGTTCTCGACGGCACGTACCCCTCCATTGGGAACACCACCATGGAGTCCTTCGACCACACCTTCGCGGTGAACACGCGCGGTGCGTTTGTGTGCGCGAGGGAGGCGACGAACCGGTTGAAGCGAGGCGGCGGGGGGCGGATCATTCTGGTGACGTCGTCGCAGGTGGCGGCGCTGCGGCCGGGGTTCGGTGTTTACGCTGCGTCGAAGGCTGCGGTGGAGGCGATGGTGAAGGTTCTGGCGAAGGAACTGAAGGGAACGCAGATCACGGCGAACTGCGTGGCGCCGGGGCCCATCGCAACGGAGATGTTCTTTGAGGGGAAGTCGGAGGAGACTGTGAATAGGATCGTGCAAGAGAGTCCTTTGGGGAGGCTGGGTGAGACCAAAGACGTGGCTCCTGTTGTGGGGTTCTTGGCCACTGATGCTGCCGAATGGGTCAACGGTCAAATTGTTCGTGTCAATGGCGGTTATATTTAATCGACCTCCACTGTTTGAACTGAATAAGATGGAAATAACATGCCAGAGTTCACACACTCGTATGTATAAGTTTCCACTGAATGAGTATAATCTCCCAATTTCATCAATCATATCTGTTTTCCTTTTCTTGTGTTAGTTTTATCTATACTTACTCAAAAGTTGGAAGATCCATTCGCTAGTAAACTTTCATTTTTGGTCTTTCGAGGATTTTCTTTGAGTTTACATCCTTAGGTTTCAAGAGAGATTTACCCTTAAGAGCTAAAGAGGAAGAACACCACAATTGGCTAGTGATAACATTGGGACGAATTAAACATATTGGTTTGGGATAAAATCAGTTGACTCTTTTCATACATTTTTCTCCTAAGTATAAGCCCTATTTGTAGTGAGACCACATAATCTAACTACCTCAATAACCCTTGAAAACATAAGTCAACAAGAGAATGAACCTAGATCGTCCAGTGTTAACAAGTTAAGCCCTTTAGTTGTCCTTATTCGGATGTAGAATGAAGCTCTTGACCAAGTTTTATATTTCCAAGTTGACCCTGAAAACAGTGTCGAATATCTCAGAGAAAGAACCTCTTGTGAAGAATGAACTTGAAAATTTTATGATTTTGATTAACTTAATACTGATTCCCTTAAATCAAGGATAGAAGATAAAATTGTGAAAATTAACTTTTCCTGTATAGCAGGGAGGGTCATACACTATTTGGAGGGTCATACACTTTGTGAAAATTGTGAAAATTTCACCTATAATTAGCCCTTAACTCACTATTTGGAGGGTCATACACTTTAAATGCATCTAGCTTAAAAGTAATCAATGTCTTTTGTCGGAGTATTTTTGGCGTCTATCATGGACACACTACTACAAAATTGTGAATAGAGAGTGTTCAATAAAGTGTTTGTTAAAAAAGTACTATAAATAAAAACACGAAATAATATACATTACTTTTTAAAAATAGTGCTATCGAATCAATAGATAGTGTATTTTTAAAAAACGCTACTATTATTAATTTTTAATAAATCTATTTTGAGACCAAGAGACTTTTTTTTTTTTAAACATTATATATTGTCATACTAGAACATTAGGTAATGTTTGTTTAAATAAGCACTCTCTATGATTTATTTTTATTTTAAGATTAAAAAAAATCTTTGTTTTGTATTTTCGTGGTGTTCTTCTCCTTTGTTTCTTCTATCTTCTTCTTCTACGTTCTCTCTTTTACTTCTCCAACCTTCTTCTTCTTATGCGTTCTCTCATTTGTTTCTCTAGCTTTTTTTTCCTATGTTCTCTCCTCTCCTTCTCTAGTCTTCTCCTTCTCCATTCTACATTCTCTTATTTCCTTCTCCAATATCATTCATTGTGTTTTCCTTTACTTCTCCTACTAGGTTCTTCTCATTCTCCTTTGCTTCTCCTTCACATTCTCCTTTGGTTCTCGTTCGACGTTCTCCTCATTCGCGTTTGGTTCGTAATCTTATCTCATCTTTACTTTAAGTAAGATCTCCTTTTTAGTTTATTATAAAAAAATGTTTTATTTCATTTCATTTTTTCATATGAGGTCTAATAAACTTAATAAGGGATTGAAGTTGGTTCTGTTATGGACACTGATTCGTGCCATTGATGCATAATCCTTTGTCTCGATGCTTGATTTGATTGATGTAATATGTGAATTGGGTTTGTGTTTTGAGTTTGACTATTTTCTTAAACCTAACCGGCACATAACTCGGTACTCCCTAACATCACAAAATTATCAACAATTATTATGATACAAGAGAATGAGGAATTGGATCCAAAGCATTCATACATATTATTATTGTGTATTTCAATGAACAAAGACAATGTCAATAGTAAGTAAAACTCAATAAAAATTGCAAAGCCTTTTCTCGATGTAGAATGGACAGAATTCACAGTCTAGAGAAAATATGAAGGAATTTTCTTATTTCTAGAGTTTTCAAGTCAACCACGAAGAAATAAAAACAAAGATGAATTTTTATACTATTTCAACATAAGTTTATACTCATAAACATAACCTTAAAGGTAATGATTAACACAACATAGCATAAGTAACCTACTACCTAATTATGAATGACACTTCATTTTCTAGATATTTTGACTAACACAACAGTTAATGATAATTTTAGATCCTAAAAAATTACCAGATCTTGGTTTTACATTTACTTCCTTACTTTAAAACCAATACTTTTTGTTCTTGTATTTTTTAAAACTTCAAACTACAATCACTAGAGTTATCGCTTTATTCCTATACATATAGTATGGTTATCTTATGAGTTGACTTAGTATTAGTATAAAACTAATAAGACATATAATATGATTATCTTATGATTTGTTTTCTCTTCATTCACATTAGTTGGAATCATCATGTTTTATTGTTTTGTTTAACCCGTCCTTTCATTTACTTATAGTTTTATTTAGTTTTATGTACATATAGTTTTATTATGTACATATAGTTTTATTTATAGTACTTGTATAATCACAATCTTCATTTACTAAAACTTAATCTTGCTTACCGAAAAGACATTTTGAAAAGTGTAAGATCACTTTATATTCTTTAAAAATCAGGTTTATATGTTGTGTGTATATTTATATATTAACTTATCATTTCTTGTTCTAAGCGTGCATACCCCTTACGTGAGTCTGTATAAGGGTATTCAGAGTTTGATGCATATGTTTTGCAATATGTTTTGCAATAAATTACCTTGAAACTTGTATCCATATGTTTTGCAATAAACTCTTTCCAAATATTCTTATTAATCATTGATGCATACTTCTCATGGGGTTGATTAGGAGGATTCTCTAAACAATTTCCATTCTCATCCTTTAGATACTTATTGGCCAAGCTAGTTCTAAAATTCCTAAGCAACTTACCTACCTCTCTTAACACATAAGTCTTGCGACATGTATCAACATTAAAAGTTAGCGATTAAATAAAATATTAGTAGAAAGAAGTTTGGAAATCATAACACATACTTTAAAATAATTAGATTTAATTAGTACACATTACTTGTATATAATTCCAAATGAGGTCTTTATAGACACTAAAACTCAACTCTTTCCAATTATCACACGTTATAGGAACATTAGATCAAACAATGGATCCAAGATAATTGATGAATTTTGTGCCACTAGGTTCAATTGGTTGACCCTTTGTATTTCATGAAACCTAATAATATGAATAAGTACATATTGAACAATAATCAGGAAAGTAACATATCCAATATACCGAAAACTAAAATAGGTACATTACCTTTAATTTTTTTCCTTCACTTCTAGCTTGAATAATTTTCTTCATAATCACTACATCTTTTTTCCCTTTTGCTTCCTCGAGAGGAAGATTATCATCTCCATTAGGAGATGTCATTTACCTGAAATAAAAGTGATTAAAAAAAAGATAACATTGGTAAAAAGGGAAAGACATATAAATAAAAATTTTAAATCCAAAACCTTTTCTTCTTTGAAGTGAACTATAAATGCTTAGGTTTCTTGTTGACACAAAAATGATGAATTTATCCAAATCTCTTTGTCATGATCATCTCTCTTGTACAAGATATCATCTATTATTGGATCAACATCATATGATGTCATACAAAGGATCATCTTCAACATTTGTATCTTCATCTTCAATATCCTAGTTGGAAGGACAGTTTATTTTATTAGTTATAACAAAATTGATCAATTGACATCAACAAGATCAGTGACATAAAAAATTTATTGAGCTTGGGATGCTAAAATAAATGGTTCATCTTTGTACCCCACTTTATTAAAATTCCCCTACGCAAATCATGTCTCATCTTGTGGAACTCCCTTATTGTTATCAACCCACTTGGAACCAAATATGAGTGCTTGAAATGTGGTGTAATCCAACTCCCATATATGTTCAATTATCATAAAATACGACATATTTCCATATATCGGACTTCTATCTTTAGCACTTGAGAGATATGCATAAATTCAGCCACCAAAGTGACATCCCCATTTTGCATAGTACTTTGATTATCTCGTTCTTTAGTGTTAAATGTGCACCCATTAATCATATAACCAATGTAAAAAAAGACTTTGGACCATTTGCTAACCATCTCAATCTGTCAAAAATTAAAGAGGATTTTGCATTTAACTCTGCAAAAATGTGGCTTTTTAGCCATTGTATAAAAGTTACATTGTGTTTTCTACTTATTCAATTGTAAGTCTTATTTAGATTTAACTTTTTTAGCATGTCTTTGTGTCTCTTAACATATGATTCAATTTCATCGTTATTGTGTAGAATATACAATTGAGTTTGTTCCCAATCTTTCTTGGATGTGGTAATTATGGTATTTCCAATAATTTTTATCTCCTACAATTCTCACTAAGTGTTGGAACTTTGGAAGTCGTCTTGATTCAACATTAAAGAGGTAATAGGTACAAAATTCAATAACTTCTTCAAGTATATATTGTCTCACTATTCATCTTCTGGTCACTTTTTACATAGTCTTTTAATATCTTCATATAACGCTGTATTAGATACATCTATCTCATATAATTTACAAAGTCAAAGTTTTACAAAATCTAGAAATTTGCTATAATAGAATTGAATAAGTTGCATTAGATGTTTTCAAACCAACAAGGTAATTGTGACGTTACTTCTAGAGTCATGTTATTAAAGTTTATGTTAACTTACAAGTCAAAAAGATTTATAAAAATCCAATTTAGTAGGGAGAAAAATGTAATGATGGTCACGTTATCAAAGTTCAATATTTAATATGAAATTTGTAAATATGAACTTTGTGACCATTCAAACCAAAGTTCTAATACATTTTATATAAACTTAATTCATCTTTGCCCACTAAACCCTTAGATAGCATAACTTGGATACTTTGAATCGATGAAACTTCTAACCTTTAAAATAATAAATTAGGATTGGTTAAAGATCCAAACAAAGTGATGATTTAAAAATCATTACACTTATCATTCAAAACAAGTACCAATTAGGAAAAATACGAAATTTTACTAATAAAATAACAAAAACAACAATGATACGAATAAGTATGTTTGAACTAAATCAACATATATTATTAATATATTAAAATTCACATATACTAATTAATATTAATAAATTCATTAAATAGTTTAATATTTTAAAATCATGTATCATATTATTAATGACGTATCAATTTTATTTTAAATTATATTAATAA